TCTGCATTTTTACCAGCCCACTCAACCATATCAGTCAGTAAACACAACCAGGTCAAGCTGTCTAGTAAACGGTAGTGCCTTGTCCTCTCCGGTCTTCTTTATCTTAGCGGGTGCTCAGGGTAGCGTGATTGGCCTAGATTGTCTAAATGGCTCCACTGTGGTTTAAGCCAACATGCCGGGGCTCTTATCAAGCTATTTCAGGGCCGATGAAGTAATCTGTACAAGGGCAACAATAGCCCAGGGATCTGGATCCTCGAACAGCCATCACGCCAAACCAACTCCGCCATACAAAGTCTCCTGATACTTGCTCATGTTTGAATTTCCATATAAACACAGTCGTCATTAGGTCATTGCGCAGTCACTAATGGTGGTACTCTTGAACGTCGTATTACTTAAGCACACCACCTTGTTCATAGACGCGTGTGGTTACGTCTGACTAGACATCGACATGCTGCAAGTGCGTTTCACGCAAGCTGCCATCAAACCTGAGTTTTAAAAACACTTCCTTGTTTTTGCTTTGGGGCTTGTAAGCGAGTTCGTTGTTTCTCAGAATCACTTCCTTTCAATGGAGATGCCAACCGAAGAAGTCGGATTTTGTCGCCTTTTTTGTTCCAACTGAAGCGGTGATTCGTGACCATGGATCCATCAAGACTCAGACGAAATCGATTTTGAAACATGCTCTTAACTATAGGTTCCTATGCGTGAATGCTCAACCTCGATTCTCTAATTCTAATTCTCTTCTCTAATTACAAATTCTTAATTCTTATTTAGTAAAAATGACTGCTGGACGTAGACTGTGGCTAAATTGGTGGTGATTTCACGGGTACAGTTCAAACTACTGTACAACTACCCCGACTCCCAAAGCACTAAACTTGTAATTCCCTGTTCAATGTATTAAACGAATGCCATTAACAGTAGTCCAACATTCAGAATAAAAATTAATGTTTTAAATGTACACTTTCTCCGATGCAGCACAAAACGACCAAGTTGAGAATCTGTCAACAACTCCAGCATTCCCTCCCTTTACTGACAACTTCGCGCTGCATCGTCCCACTGTAGTATTTTTTGGCTCGAAAACATTTTTAAACTTTAAACAGGAAGTAAATCAACGTCAGATCCAAGTAATAATTGCATATAAACACATTAAAACAAAGAAGGTGAAAGTAGACATAAACACGTGTTAAAAGGGCAAGAATTTGTAAACAATACGATAGAAATTCAACCTTCGGCGGATGAACGGGAAAGAATAACGACGAAGCAAAATTATCAGGTTACATCCAAAAGTAATTGGTCAATTTGCAATTTTTCCACGTGTGCGATCTGATGATTTATGCATTGTGGCAATATATGCATTTCTCCTTTCTTGACGTCAAGATTACCTTTGTTTTGGTCAAGTAAAAGCCAGGCACTGGCATAAATAGATAAGCTAACGTGAATGTAGTTTAGCATTTGGTCTGAAAGCTGAAAAGTGGTGTTTGTGGCAAATGCGAATCACCTGTTAACCGACTAACTCTTACGTTGCCCCAGAAAGTGTTAAGACTGAGAAATTCCTCCATTTTATGGCCTGTATTGGAGCTCAATTATTAATTACTTAAATTCATCGAAATTTCTTTGCAGTGACCATTACGCAATGAAAACTCTCATTTTGTTTGCCCGGTAGAGTGTTTTGCGTGGCAAATGGGCATAGACGGAGCTCACAATGTCCATGCAAAAGCCTTTGTTTTCATGGTGCATGCGTCAGTTTCCCATTGTCTCCCTTCTATTTAAAATGATCCTGAACAACACCCATGGCTCCAAACACGCGTCTTATTGCGATAATATTTGAGATGCTTTTGACTACGACCTTTGAGCCCTGCACCAAGGCACCAACTCCACGGCCTGAAAACGACTTTTTTCAAATTTGTGCAGAATTATTTGATTAATAAATGCAATTGTTGTAGTCAGAATCATGGTAATGGATTTTCAGTGATCGCGCCTGAGCGATGACGGCTTAGTGACCTGGTGGTGCCAATGACTCATCACCATTCCAGTGGCTGCCATTACCAGCCCCCTGTCATCCGCTCACGCATCCACGCACGCACACTTGACTGGCGTGACGCTAATGCACAGTCGTGTTCGTTTTCGCCCGTTTTCGCGGGTTTTTAGGGGCTGTAAACTAGAGGCTTGTTAGGTGGCGCTAGTAAAGCGACTACATTTTCTTGCGCTCAGCTTCACTAAATTTTCCGCCAGGCATTCCACAAATTTCAAATGTAATCACACTGCAGATGTCTAAAGACAATCTAAAGCCATGATAACAATGCATTTATTTTAGAATTTGGAAATACGTTAACAAATTAGCAATCGAGTTTCGACGTTTCCACCAGTTACGGCAGATCAACACAAACCTTAGGAAGATGTTAAAAATATCCGGATGAATAAATTTACTAATATTTGTAAGTAGGACGTTTTTCACCGCAATTTTGTGGCTGAACTGTTTGTTATATTATGCACTCTACACAACTAATGTATTAATCGTGCTCAAACACTTTTTTGCTAAACACGAGATAGTCTAATGACAACTTCAGGAGGTAAAGAATGTCACACTTTTTAGTTAGTGACTACAGTTTGGGCTGGATTTTATTGTTTAATGTTTATTTCCCAAGTCTAAACATTGATGAGTTTGCTACTAGTGACGAAATAACAAGAACACAACATTTGCTGACAACCTCAGAAGGTATAGAATGCTCTATCTTTCCCATCTGAACGTGACAAAAAGAGGTTTCGCTACAGTCTGGATTGCTTGTTTCGCCCCAAGTCCAAAAAGCAGTGAATTTTCCATCAATGATGAAATAGTAAGCGCAGTATTTGTGGTCAGTCACTTCATAGATGGAAGTGAAAATATTTCAATTTGAGTCATCCCCTTGCAGTCTAGCTAACATTAGGTCAAATTTACTGGAAGCACTGAGCTCAACCAAAAGGTCATTCAATTTAGAGAAACTGTTAGGTGATTAATAATAATCGGGAATTTATTGTCTCCCAAACTTTTGCAAATATTTTAAATCCTGATTTTTTTTTAAAAACTGCGTGGGTGTTTTTGAAAGAAAATCGAAGGGTCGATTTTGACATCTTCAACAGAATAATGGTTTGTGCCATTCAAATGATTTTGTAGAGAAAGAACAGATGCAAACGTGAAGGAACAGGGTCTGGTGCATACTGTACGTGCTTGAGTCTTCCCACGTTGCAGTTTCCGTTGGACGAAATTTGGTTTTACGTTGTCATGACAAAAGATGGTCCCTTTTCAATCGATCCGATGAGTAAATTTTTAACGGAATCTATATGAGTTGCCCAAAGTGCTTCTCCCCAGTCAATGCCTAGCCCCTTGGAGGGATTTTGTAAGTATTTATTCCCCTGCAATCCCACTAACAGACGCATAACAGCAAACTCAGTGTATGAAGTTCTGTCTTTGCCGTAGATTCTAGTCATTCCTTTGAAGTCTAGTCAAATTTATTGGAGGCATTGACTTTAACTGAAAAGTCTTGAATTCAGGCAGCAAATATGCGCATCGGTGATACTATTGGGTGATTGTAAGACTTCGAGCTTGATGCTATTGATTACAAAATTGATCTTTAGTAATCAATGATGTTTTGCATTCCAAAGTTTTGACTACTTATCTTATAGAAACTGGATGATTTCCCTTTAAGGAAAATCGCGAGGTTGCTTTTGATTTCTTACACAGAATAAAACTTCTACTATCCAAATAAATTCGCGTTAAAAGACACAAATTAAAATGTGAGGGAGCATGGTTAAGTGTCTAGGTTAGGTGCTGAAGTTTTCCTATTCAGGTGCCTAGGTTTCTGCAGTGCTTGGGGAGCACCGTGTGGTATAACGGTGTCACGATGAAAGATGCTGCCTTCTTGATTAACCAAAATCGTAAATTTGTCTTGGAGTTCTGCGATAAGTCTATGTGAGATGCAAAATGCGTCTCAAGTGCCTCCTTCTGAAATCCCACTCCGGACAGATGGCACATTCACTGCAAGCAGTTCAGCCTTTGCCGCAGATTTTTCCCATTTCTAGGCTTTCAAATCCCAACCTCATAAAAAATACCACAATTACATACTGCTTTAGTTGGTTCATTGGTAAATTGCAAACCTAAACAATCTTTGGTGGAATCGGTGTCACGGGCTTGAAACAAATGTTGACTATTTCTTGCACAATTAATAACGAAGGGCCGAAATCGATGATGAAGTTAGGCAGTTATTGTTCCTTTTCTTAATGGATCCTCATAAGTTTTAATTTCGCACACACATATGCATTAACACGAACTTAGCTCTAAGCTGTACCTTAGTCAAATTGTAAATTAGATTTTGTTCAAATTACTTTTTTAGTTTTGTGCAGGCAAGTGGCACAGGGCTTTCTGGATTACAAGTGGATGAGGAGACGCACACATGTAAAACCATGTCTGAGCTAATTCGTCCGAAGACAACTTTAGTAACTACCCCATTTTACATGGTCATTCTGATAGTTGATTTGCCCAATCGTATTCACGGGGCTAAAATCTTCCACCCATGCTAAAAACCACCCACATTGGTACCCCTAGCTTTCCAAGGAGCAAATTTGAAAGTGCATGTCTAACGAAACGAGTGACAACGCCATTTTGCGAATAAAAGCTCTTGAATTGTTCTTTGCCAGAATGCCTTGTGTTAAAGTGAAGGCCGATTCATTAAGACCATCCCAGTTAGCACCTCGCTTTGGCCACGGATGAAACCCAAACAAAATCCCCACAGCCTTCTCTTATTGTGTCCTTCGATATCACCATTTACAAAATATTACCAGAAAGCATCCCAAAATGTATTCATAAAGACATACGGAGCATACCAAATAGGTAAGGAATAATAGTAGCGTTGGCCGCGCTGACGGTACAGAGTAACAGGTAATCACAGTACGTCGAAGGTAGAAAAAGGAGGGCGGGGAAGGGGGGGGTTTAAAGGAGTGCATAGAAGTTAGGTAGGTGGGTGAGAAAGCTAGGAGGAGGCGTTGAGGGGCGTTGGCGGGGCCGTGACCTTGGGCTGCAGCAGGCGTCCATACAGGTGCAGCAGTTTATGCACTGCGGTCAACAACTGGGACGAATCGGCCACGAAGACACAGTCCACCACCAGGGGGTACATGTCGATGACGGAGCTCCACGTACCTGAATCGACTGAAAGGGGGAAAGCACCATGCGAACTAGCAAACGTAGCCACAAAAAAATTACTACCAAACCGGTACTGCCAGGAGTTTAAGCGGGCTGATCGAAGCCCCCTTTTAGAAGTGAGTTTGACTGAACCTGACTTCTGCAATGCTCTACTGTCTTGGATAAAAAAAACCCAGGTGTTTTCCAAATATCAACCGGACTTCATTTCGGATAGCTTAAAAGGTAGATCGGGAATCCGTGTTTTCGCACGTCTACCACCCACATTAAAAACTGACACTGGCAGTCTAAGCTTAAAGCACACTGTCAAAATACTGCATCAAAAAGGAGAGAAGTGCTCAGCTCAAACTGTAATTGACTGCAAAAACAGCTGTTATGTTAGGAGAAACTTGCGTACAACTCTGTAATAATCTAGTTTTCGACACAAATAGGCGCACCACGCTACTGTGTTAGCATGATTTAAAGACTGGGAATGTCACAGAGGCATTAAGCGCACGACGACGACCACCACGACCACCGCCACCGCCACCACCATCGACAAACGGGCATTCCAAATGTGTGTGCGAGTGTGTGCAATAAAGAAAGGGCTTTTGGCCTAACTACAACCTCGACAGTAGGCGATAGCTAAGAAGCTAAGAAAGAAGCGGAAATCGAGAAAACAAGTGATGCAAAAGGCACGCTTCTGGACGCTAACGGCCACACATTTCACGACAACCACTGGAACGAGCCAAGCGATTTAATTCTTGCTTATTTTAAATGCGCACAAAAAACAAATTTATGTTCTTGGCTTTGAGACTCCAGTCGTAGCAGACACGTGGTCACACGAACGACGTTTTGCACTTTTGCATGGGGAATCCCACAAATAAGCAAAGGGTACTTAGCAAAGGGAAGGTTCTAAAAGTTACAACATCAGCACTGTTCGGTGTCGCACGTGATGAAGGGCCGTGAAAGGATACAGTCGTGCCAGCAAGACAACAACACTCACCAGTGACTGCGGAATTCGGCAAAGGAGCTGTGAAATTCGTCAGGAGAAGAGTGAGAGCTTGGAATGCGAAGTTCACCTCGGATAGCTTTGCGCTAGGCGGCCCGTAAGAAAACACAAGAGAGCGCTGTTAGGTACAGAAGGGATGGGTGCTTGGGGTGAAGAAGATGAGGAAGTGAGGGGAGACGGAGTGTGAAAAGGGAGAGTAAGCAGGTGAGAGCCACAGAAAATATTGGGGCCTCGAAACTTCACCTGAATTCTTCATCAAGACATCATCAAGACAAGTTGAGAGGAACAAAATCGACTGGGACTAGGTGATTTGCATTAGCACAGATGCAGTAACTAGAAATTAGAGTGATCATACAGTTTATTAAGGCCTGTCGGAGTAAAAACTGACGCTAACATTACTCGCATTTGACACAATCGCACCGAAAACGAGAGCGATAATACTGCTGTTGTGATAAGACGGCGACAGCTGAAAACAATTTGGTCCCGGGATGCACACACTGATGAAAGCAAAAAGATTAACTACAATTAGGGAATTGAAGGAACCCATCTAATGGAACGTAAATACTTCAGTGGAGCAGCGGATAACAATAAGCGTGACCAATCCGAGCGCTGATGGTGCACTAAATCTATAATCATGGATTAAAGTGTAGAATAAGGACTAAAATCGAAAACAGGTTGGCAAAAGCTTGGCAAATATACCAAGCTAACTGGCTAGAAAAAATACTACAACATAGGTCGAACAAACTTTTAACTTAATTTCGTACTAAAACTTTGGTCGTTGCAGTCGACACTACTGAAATATTTAATTAAAACGAAATCAAACATAATTGATTGGATTTACGCTCAGCACTTCATTTCAAACTAGTCACTGAAACATAATTGAGGGTTGAATTGTGGATTAATTATCCACACTGATAACAGGGATTTGTGTGTGTGGAATGTCACCATTTGGAGTTTGGCAGAACCCGATTTTTTTGTACCAAGCACTTTTAAAATCTTTCAGACCAATAAAAGAGAAGCGACGAAGCGACTACGTGCTAATGGGGTGAACATCTTGCTCCTTCTTGGTCGGTACTGTCAACAGGATGAAACAGGAAGAGAGAGAGGGGGGATGACAGGAGAAGGAAAAGCAAGTAGAAAAAAGCAGGGAAAGATAGCGGACGGGTGAGCTTAAATAAGTACAACTGGAGGAAGACAATGGTTGCGAAATCACAAGTGTGCTCACCGCGGCAACGGACACTTTCCGGTCAACTTAGCTGACTTGGTGAATCGTTGCAGGATGAATCTGCATCTATCTAGAACATCACGGATGGCAGTTCGGCAGAGAACCACGTGGGGCTTTGGCGCAGACGCCGAGGATTTCAGTGATAACCACGGAGAAGCAGAGGTAGTGGATGGTACTGCGTTGCCCTGGAAGAACGCAAATGAGAGCAAGGACTCGAAACACAGACGCATAAAGTTCTCACGCGAGACGAATGGCTGGAGGTCGAGGTCGTTGGAGGTTGCAATGGCAGCATCGCCTGTGCACGTAAAAGAGGGACGGTGGACGAATGGGTGCAGACCAGAAGGCGGTGGGAAGTTGGAGTTGAGTTTTAGGGAATTGACGTCAAGAAGGGTCAAATCTGCGTTGCCGATTGAGGCTTGAATCGAGCCGAGGCCCAACACTCCAACGAGTTGTTCGATGAACTTTTGGGGGAGACCATCAGGTCGTGAGAGAAACCGATCGCAGATTAGGCGAATGAACTGCAGAACAAAACAGGTGCGTCAAGTCGTGAAACGTTAATTCAAAATACGCGCAAAAACGATGTTATATTTGCTTGCTTCTATTTGTAGATTAAAAACTCGAGCTTAAAAAGCGGAGAACTCATTTAGCATTCACCCCATAATGTCAAAAGGTTATTCCGATGAATTGAATCCTAAGGAAATTCGTCATGTACACACAATTGCGAGCTTGGTTGGCTGTCCGACCTGATATTAAGGATAAAAGCCCAATCAATCCCCACTGGTTCAACCCTAAAACTTTCAAAATCCATTGATGCCAAAAGTCGATAACATTCACGGTTCAAACCACACAGCCTGGATTTCCTCGTGAGCACTGTGAATGCTATTTCAAAACCAGAAGAAAAAAAGCTCCATTTAACTCGACCTTACTTTGCAGTCCAGGGCTTCGTGCTGTTGAAATTCATCACCGGAAAGCGGTTCCGTCGGTTGACTAAAAGGTTCGCAGGAGTTACGGTAAGAAAACTAGACCAAACTTGTTCACGCAGTGAAGCGGACAATCACTCACTTTTGGCAAAAAAGAAAATCGCGGATCGTTGCATAGATGTTATCCCACAGATCACCTAGACAACAAAACAACCGGTCAACACAAACAAATACTTAAAAGCAGGTGACTAGCAGGTATATGAAATCACCAATTAATGAAAGAGTCGATTACACAATCTGAGGAATGGGACAAGTCACACATTGAGTGACCTAAACTGAGGTCAATACAAATGTTGCCTAGAGACCCTGGTGGTGATAAGCTGACAATTTGCAGGCATGCGTCTGGTGGATTTGGTGATGGCCTTTAGTTCTGGCCTGGGCTGGGCACTGTATCGAGGAATGCGGACAATAAATCATCGCGATATAGACGATTTCCCATTTTCCTTTGTGCTTAACGGCGTGCTACGTGAAAACGTGTGTGCATGTGTGATAATACATTTGGAAGGAGAATGGGAGTACCATACAAACGCAGAAACGGACGTTCGGACATGACTGTCCGCTGCTTGAAGCCTTCCGACGTCAGATAGAGCAAAAAATAAATGCTCAATTTTAAACCAACGCATCAATTCGAGTGAAATAACACGAGGGTTGTCTTGTGAAGCACTCGCGAATGTGGCGTGCTTTAAAACGGCCGTCTACTACACAGGAGTTTGCCGTAAACTCTTGCGCTGGCAGCACAAGGGCAAACAGCGAAAGCAAAAAGAGCCGAAAAATGTAGTACATGACAAGTTTAAAAAGCTTCGCTACATGAGCCCCTAGGATGTTGCTGCGGGGCAAGCGTTGAGGCAGAGCAATCAACCTCCCTCCCGTTTGGGCTTTTTTTGCTGATACGCGGCGCGTCAGTGGTATTTCATGGGTAATTGAATGTCTTGCCCCGATAACGCTAAATGTATAATGCGGAAACCAAGGCCCTTCTGAGGGTTCACGAGGTTAGCGTTTTGTGAGTCATTCGGGACCTTCGACTTTCAAGTATTTTAACCCCCAACTACGGCTGATAAGTGTTTTCGGTTTTCAGCACATTGGGCGTTATGATCAGGATAAAAGGGCGAATTAACGCCACCATTCTGCGTGTTGTCGAGCCGGGAAAAGATAAATGAGCGCAGCGGTAAGCGTAATCGGGACACCGAAGTGGCATGCTGTGGAGGCAACAAAGTGTTTGAGGAATGCAGCAGACCAAACAGCTGTTCACGTCTAGACTGACGGTTTTGCGTGATTCACGAAAACACGAGAAAGCACAATGCAGGAATGTGTAAGCACAAAAAACGCCCACAGCGTTCCACGATGACCACATATTTGAACACTACGGACTGTGAGGTGGGCGAGACCCCGCCGGAAAAATGCAAAAACCGTGTCAGACGGGCGAAAACCACAGACTTGGCTGTGATATTTGCAGGTAATTAAAGTGCTAGCAAAACAAACAAAGTTACCTTTTGGAGTCTTCGCAGACGGCGACTTCTGCTTCGTGGCGATGGGCACACCAGCAGTGATGACCTCGAAGAAGCACTTGCTGGCGAGCAGCCACGTCGACTGACACTGGCACCTGTACTTAGCCGCTAGCGGAACATGCAGGGCCTGAAAAACAGCAAGTGTAAAGAGACAGCATAAATTATCACCGGATTTGACTGAATCATGAGAAGTGTTCGAGGCGACGTTGGTAAGTTAAAAGTTGGCTACTTTTGACAATGAAGTAAACAGCATAGCTCTTGAAGCGCATACAGTAAAAGCCATGTTTTGGGTTTTTTGAAAGTTGACCCACGTTATTGATCGGGTGGGAGACAGTCTGGGAACTACAGTACTAGGATGCTCGATCGCCCTGAGTTCGAGGTACGCAAGTGAAACAGTGGATGAGTAGAATTCTGCGGACAGATTTGGAACGGTGAGTGCAATTAAATAAACGGGCGATGAGATTACAAGATGAGTGGCTTTAATCACGCTCAGTGGTTTATTGAACGCTGTGCGCACTGAAAATACGAAAAGAAGGGACAGAAAACAATGAGATACATTGGACCGAAATGAAGATTTTAAAAAAGTAGGTGTTAAAACAGCAAGATGACCTGTCCTCGTAAAGATATTTAAAACACTCCCATGGGATTGGCATCAAATAGACTTTGGCGTGATTATTCCGCCATTGATAAAATAACCTAAATTTGATGGCGTAAGTTTAAACTTCAAGATTCGACTCATAGGAATACGTTTGTGGCTAAGTAGAGAGATAGAATATTCTGCTTTTGCATAAAATTTGGAGTCACTGTGAACTGCAATCGGACACTTGTCTAGAGAAAGGTGGAATCATTTATAAAAAAAACTGTTCCATCTCCATTACTACTCTCATTGACGCTGTGCCTCAAAAATAAACAGGGACTAATTAACCCATCAAATTTGACACCAAATGAAACGACACTCGAAGTTCCTCGATTGATCGCAAGTGACCTGAGCATAGAATCGACAGGAGTAAAACAGTAGACCAGAAGCCCAGCCAGCATCGGCACTCAAAACTCATAGAATGCAAAATGAACGATTTACCTCAATCATTTTTAACAGTCCGTCGGCGTTGAGAAGGAGATCAGAGCTTACGAAATCCAAATACAGTGTGGTGGCCAACTCCAGGCATTTCTCCGCAAAGATAATGTAATTCAAGGGTACAGCGGTGATCTTAAAACCGAAAAAAGTGAATTCGTGCAGACAAACAAGGATAATGCTCATGCAACCTGAGGGTCATGCAAGAATTGCAAAAATACACGGAAATGATATTGCGTAATGGATAACGAGGCCTGTTTCCAAAAGTCACCTAGTATTTTGTTAATTTTTTAAAGAGAGAACAAGTAATGATAGTTAGATTGAAATGGTGCTTGCATATTCGCCCATTGCAAATACAGAGAGCGGACCACAACACCGTCTGCCATGGGTAAGAATAGAAGACAAGTGAGTGATGGCATCGTACCTAGATAAAGGCAGTACGGTATTCACTAGTTCCTGCATTTGAGTTTAGGCTGCATATGCATAGCGTTGGTTTGGCAGAGTTTGTGCGTGTGTGTGTGTGTGTGTGTGTGTGTGTGTGTGTGTGCTGTCCACAGACAAATGACACGGAGACAAGAAGACAACGAAACCAGCAAATGTCCATAACAGATAAGTTTCGACAACAACAGTTCAAGTTGCAATAGCGTAAAAAATGCATTTTTCGGAAATCACTTAGTTTAGAGCTACTAGAGCTCCAACAACAAAGAAAATGAGCACCAAATAACACAATTGACGGCGTTCATAGCTTAGAAGTCAACATGTGGTTTTAAAGCGTCACTGAGTTAGTGAATACTAACATTCATCGAAGATAAAGTAACGATATAAACCAAAGTATAAAGGCGATCAAAAATGTCAACGACTCTGGCTGATAACGCAACTGGCTCATTCGGTACATGGGGAGTCCTCTGGTCAGGGATCCTGAGCGTGTTGGGGATCCAGGATTCTCCAAGATGGCTCATCGTCAGTTTCGTCGTTTTTCACACTAATCCCCTAACCACGTCACGTCAATGGGTGAGTCACCCTCGGCACCCTACTGACACCTCCATCTGTGTTAATCCGCTTCATCCATCAAGTCAAGGTCATCCTTGACTTTATGACAGATCAATCGTCCTTTGGCTGAGACGATTACAGCTCTCAACACGAGGTCCCGTCCTGTCTTGCACCAGCGTGAAAAGGTCGGTTCTAGCGTCAGACAATGGATCTGGTGTCATAAATCTGAGTGAATTTTACTTGGTTACAGAGTGTCAACCCAGTCACGTTCCTGAGTTTCTGAGAGATTTACGACATCGCAAAGGTGGTGAAAAGTCAGACATCTGGATAACAATTGAATCGCATGCACAACCAGTTTTAGTTGACAGAAGTCGATTACTATGCACATGAATAGGAGGCAATAAAGCGAGTCGTGTAAGCCAGTAGTGTGCGCATATCATCGGGTGAAACAAACTTGTTATTACGGAAACACTAGCATCTCACATAAGGCGATTTTGGAACGCAGGTGCCTAGTAGTTGGGTAGATCAAACACATGCCAAGTCCACTAAATAACCAGCTCTCAAGTAAAAAAGCTCTGGACGTTAGGTTATCGTCAGGATGAGCAAGGTTAAAGGACAGCCATTTATTAAAACGCGCAACTGCTCTCTCCCTCAAACTGACTCATTGATGGCAGATGCTCCAAGGTGAGGCGCAGTAGGAGGTTTGGGCAAAGTGAAAATGAGCCCCAAAATAATTCTAAAGTACTGGATTGTGACGCTTGGATGGTTTGTTACGCTCTACCGACAACTGACTAAATCACCATGTCGCAATATAACATGGTCAACAAGAACAACAGCCTTTGGCTTAAGCCAAACAGCCAAATACCCCAACATTCCTATCGCTGTCATCAATTGTGATTTCAATAAGACTATTTGCTGCGGTGTTTAGACTTTGCCTTCACCTCAACCTAATTTAACGCGTTACTTCTGGTTTCAAAAACTCATTCAGGCATTTGAGAACCACCGTAACCCTTTATTATGCATCGATGATTTCATTTCGTTTTCCACAACAACTCAGTAGGAAATGTGACGTTAGTAATAGTATTTAAGGTGGCCTTTTCAGTGAATAGATGCAGCCAAATCCAAGTGCATCTTAAAATTGACTTGATAAAGTGTCAACTAAGACAGCGTGCCTATTTAGGACACTTATTGATCAACTTTTGACTATTGATTGTCATGCAACCAGCACCTTCGTACTGGAACTTATCCACGACCAAAAACAATGCATCACATCGCTACCAGACTTCCCGTGACTTTGAATTTTCACGACTTGTCTCGTACGACAGCAACACTTAGCAAAGAGTGCGCTTAAAGTGTTGATTCATGATTTGTCTAGGTGTTTTGTGTGTACTTTAACATGAATTATCAGAGTACAGATTTCCTCTGGATTCGGTGATACCTCTAATATTACAACACCAAAGAACGTCCCATTACGGAAACAAATGACGACGTTTGTCCATCGAATTACCGGGCATCGAAATTACCTGGTCAGTGCTCGATCCGGGCTTGGGAATTCGAACGGCGTACAAGGACAAGTGAAGGAGGAGTTCGAGAAAGGGGACAAGGAGGTGTTGTACACTGACATCCTTTGACTGAATCACCTGAAAAATAACACATGTTTTGGCACAGAGGTGTGAAATGCGTTACACGTTGTCGTTTAACCTGTAGCTCTCACACCCGGCTTGTTCTCAAGACTCTACCAGACCTAAGTAAACGCCCATGTTCCAACCTCCCAGTGACTAATCAGTGCCCAGTCCTCTAAGCCACCAGACAACTTCGCATGGAAAACACTCATGACGCACCCAAACGTGACTGTCCGGACGGATTAATCCGATTGGGAAACTTGCCAGTCTTCAAATGAACCGCATTTCCGAGGAGGCGATTGCAACAACCGCCATTTTTCGAACAGTGTTCAAGGTTATGCAAGTGTGCATTCGATATATGGTAAGGAAATGAGAGCAAATAGGGAAGACTACAAGAACGGGAGAGTATTGAAATCTCTAACGAGTCAGTTGCCATAGCACCAAAAGGAATACACTCCTCCCCCCCCCTTAAAATGATAAGAAGTATTTTCAGCTGAGCTGATGTAAGCTGGACATCCATTCAGGCAAAGATAGCACTTTCGTGAAGCAGGAGAACCGAGTGGCATTAATGACTAAGCTTTAAAGCAAAAAAGCTGCGGCGTTGACGTGCAAGCCTTACCTCAGCAACCACTGAAAGACACTTGAAAACGGCGCGTTGAGTCGGTGTGAGGCCCTGTTCATCGATGCTCGTCGCAGCAAAGGGTGACATAAAGGAGGGAGCCGACAACGCCGAACCGCCCACCCCCACAATGGGACTTGCCTCGGTTGAAAAAAGGGGGCCCAACACACCCTGACTTATGATGTCACTGAATTCAGCAAAGAATGCACCGTTGAAGTTCTGCTGAATCCTTGGGAAGAGTGCGGGAAAGAGGTCGAAGAAGAGAGCAAAGAAGTTGGCATCGAAGCTGTACACTGCCTGCATGGAGAGAGGGAAAATGGTGAAAACGTGGAGTCCATAATAAGTTAATAAATGCTTGTATTACAAGACTATAAGACACACACACACACACAGACGGAGGACGAAGGTAGTTCAGTAATTACTAACTTAGCTAACCCAAATAAACTGAAATTTAAGGCCAAAAAACCAACTGGATGTCGGCTTGTTGTCATTTCACTAGCACGAGAACAGTTTTGGGACGCAAACTGAAGCCCTGACTAGTAAGTCTAATTCAGGTTACTGTGGCAGGAGAAGGGAAAATGAGGCGGCTTATTTCAAAGCACCTGTCTTAACAGGAAATTGCGACGGCAAAGGTAGGCCTATGCAGTCCAAACGTGTGGAAAAAGTCGAATTTCTCCTATTCAGTCAGCATCCTTAAAACTCCAGGGAAAAAAGGCTTCCAGTTAAAGCAATGCGCACTTAATGTTTAATCCTATACACACAACCCCCCACCTCACTCACTGCGGTTCGTTGAGGGCGAGCGATTCAAATGGTAATTAGACTGAGGCAAAAGCAGCAAAGCAAAATTATTTGCCGCAGCGTACGGCCAATTCGTGTAATTAAACACCCTCCGTGACGACATCAAAAATGCAAAAAACTAACTATTGAATAAACGTTTTAGGGAAAATGAGGTGTAAATGGTCAGTATGGTGGGCCAGCTTCAGTTACATACTAATACTACAACTCCAGCCAGAAATTCTACATCGTATAGACTTATAGCAAGATGTCAATACGGCTTAGACCTACGGGTTTTCGCAGTCCCACAACCGGTGCCTGTGTGGTCTCGCTTATCTTCCGCTCGCCTTGAGAGGAGTTGGAGACAATGAAATCGACGAATCGCCTACCGATGGAGGTCCACGTTCGCCAAAAGGCCAGCCAGGTCGTCGTGGCCATGGCGTTCTCGCACTGAGATGTGTCAAAGTCGAGCAATATCTTCAGTGTCGAAAGGGCATTCTGAGCGATCTCTGAATTCGGGGTGAGAACAGCTCTTTCGGCGTTTGACAGCAATTTTTCCCATGCCTCTGAAAACCGATCTACAAAAAGAGAGCCAGAGTCGGTAACCCGATTAGCGAACCGCATTTAAGACATGGACACAATAATTTGAGTAGACGGTGGCTTAAAACATAATTAGCCCAGAAAAGAGCCTTGGCGAAATCGGAGGTCCAAGACGAAAACTCCTATATTAAAGAGAGCCAATAACCACTAAATTTTAAATCTTTTCCCCAGCGACAGACTCTAAGGGGAAGAATTGAGTACTTATTTGGCCAACAAACAACTACTGTATCACATGTTGGTAAAGTTATTACGCAAACAGCACTTGGTAACTACACGTGAATTGGTATTATGTAAAAGTGGCGAGGGATTTTCAATGCAGAAATACAAACGAGTGTTTATCAAGAAAAAGTTGCTGATCAGGACAAGGACCAAAGATCTTCACGAGACGAATGAGGCACGCTTCTACGATTAGATTTCTGTATCGTTGCATTTTAATAGCATCCGATAAGAGAAGCAGACTGTGGGGGCGGGCAATATTGGTGAAACTTCACAACAATTCATATCCGTGTCAACACCAAACGATCTGAGATTTTTCTGCGTTTATGATCACCCTCGCAGCTAGAATCAACATTAGTGATTAAAACCAGAAAACCCGCATCAAATATGTGATTGGTAGACTAAATGTGACAAACAGGAGAATCATTAACAAAATCTCAAACCGATAAGGACAACTACGACAAAGTAGCTTAGCGTTGAGACAGTTTGCTGCCACACTTTGTCCAATTTGCACCGAGTTCTTCGAAACGCAATGCACGAAATGGCCTAAGAGGCAAGGGTTAGGTTAGGAGTTTGCGGATTTCAGTAATTTAAATAAATTGCCACCTAAACAAAGGCTTGACCGTGGATCATCACATGACCGGATGCACACTGCACCAACCTTGTGACAAAACCAGCGGGTTTTCAGAAATTTACGACCGCCAGTACTGGCACCACACTGGTGAAATTATCAAAATTGAGTTACTGAAGGAAGAAAAGTCCGGTCGGGCGAATTGGAAAACCAAACAGGAAGTAAGAAAGAAAAGTTGTGGCAAAGCAAGTTAGTGGCGATTTCCTTTATGGAATAGACGCACAAATATGTTGAGCGTTCGAACAAATATTTGACAAAACTGCATGTTGCTTTGAACTGGAAATTTAGGGAATATTAAACATGTTGTAGTTTTAAATACATTGATATAGTTGTTTGACTTAGAAAAACACGTGCACACACACACACGATTACTGCCAGTGAAAGTACTGCCTAGTTATTAAATCCCAGCATTGATAAGTAGACAAGAAGTTGACGTGACCAAAGACGTTTTTTACACCGAGACAAATAGACTCAGAAAACGTGCTGCAGTGTCGTTTTGTCCCACGAAAATTTCGATATAAACGAAAAACATTGCCGTGACTGTTAATGTAGAAGTCAACACTTTGTAAAACATGGGATTTCTGCTGAAAATTTGCAAACGATGTGGCCGCTTCGTGTTCGTTTAAAACAAAAATTGTTCCTGCATTTTTTTTTAAAAAAAACTATTGGGGAAGGCATTAGGGTTTAGGCGCCGACACACGAATGTGGGTGGCCAGCAGCCGCCTTCCCAAAACCGAAACGATCAATGTGAACAAAAGAGTAAAAATAGACGCAATTTTCCTAGGCTGGAAGCAAAAACTGTAAATCTGACATACGAGCTGACATTCAATGCCTTTGCCAAAGTTATTTTTGCTTTGAGGAAGAAAAACGTCAGAACTGCGGCGTGAAGTGACGAGTTTGTGGGGCATTCAGGCATGACATTTAGCAAGCTCATTTTTAAAAAAAAAACCCGATCTAACCTGGAAATGTTCCACCATTTTTATGCAAACTTGACGTTTTAAATGCAATCTTTAAATCTGAATAACAGCACAGGAGTTAATTAACTAAGTACTTCCTTAATCTAATTAAAATCTAACTCGTATGCCAGGCCCCAAGCTATAACCCGTGGGGGACAATGACATTGGATTTGCAGTTTCACATTCTCGTGCCTAAGAGATGGGACAGCATTGGGGTGATTTGTGGGAATTAACGCCATCCAAGTCAGCCAGCCACGCTATGGTGTCACGCAAGTTCTCGCACGAAATTCATCAGCTTAAATGCACAAATAGGAACGCCTCACGGCCGACTGGGAAGTCATTGCGTTTTGGTATTTGGAACCCGTCAGTGTGGCTTGGTGGAAGCGTTTACATTAGGTGACGGGGTTTGGTACTTCCGACAACGTGATGGGAATTTCGATTAGGTTCTTGAAGGCTACAATGCCCAAGAATACAGCCAGCCAGATATGATTTTATAAGTTATCATCTTCACATCCAGTCAGCAACATGACTGATAGAAAAAACACAATTTCAGACGACAGAGTAGAGGGACAAGGGCATCAAGTAGCACCAAAAAAAAACGATTACCATAAAGCAATCGAAGTTGTCTGTTGTAAAAAATGGTGAATCATATCGCGCGGAAATGGACATAAAAGAAGCAAGGCAGAATTTTCTGGTGAAGAAAGCACGGAGGACAAGACCCAGTGGGTGAAACGCTAACACAAGCCTGAGGAAGGAAGGAAAGAAGGTGGCTTTCCATCAACCAGAAACTAGCTGGGCCAAATTAACGAAGCGGAAGAGCCGGACGGTCGGAAATGTGACAAAATACCGACGATTTTACACGCAAGCTACAAGGAAAAATGTGTGTCGGTGCCAGAGGACACGTAACCACGCAACAGAAAAAAAACGGGGCGATGGGGAGAGGAGAGAACTCTTGAATTGCTTAGCAACAAACGGCGTGCACTTGCCAACCACCAATTGTCAAAGTTTTCGAATCAAATTATATAGTTTTTCCTAACGAATTTAATTAAAGCTTGACGATCTAGTGCCGTAAAAAAATTAAACAACGCTTGCATTGATAGTTCTACCAGCAAATTAGGGGTAGAAGTGGAATTTCGGAGACTTGTACGATTCCATTGAAAAAAATTCAGATTAATGATGGAACCAGGAAGTGGATGTAAAACGATCTGAGGCCTATGGTTGATTAGATTATAAGGAATCGACAAAAGATTAACATGAAGCATGTCGCTGGTTTACATATTCGCTTATAGCAGAACAAAGGAGACAGCGCAAGGCTTTCGCGACAGTAAAACAACTTAACCCGAATACAACGACCCCATGCTAGTCAAAAGCACACGAATTGTCCATCACAATGAGTCACTGATTAAACAGACGCCACCGATACCTGACCTCGAAGACAAGGAGTGAAATCGCAGTGAAACGCCAGATAATTGCAGGAACGAAGCTTCAACGAAAGCTATTTCAAGGAAGATGGCATGCCCAAACTCACTCAGGGTGACCAATTGGGGCTGCTTTGAGACAAAGCATCGAGCCACTCCGGTGAGCGTCAGGACCACGGTCTCCGCCCACTGCTTCGCGGCTGTGTCGCGACTGTGGTGAACCAGGAGGTTCCCGGTTTTGCTTCCACGTTCCACCGGAGCATTTGCGCAGTGGTCCTGCACGTCGGCAAGCAGGGGGAAGAAAACCTACAACGGAAAATGCAATTGGACTGACGTCCAGAGATCATAGCAGCCTCAAACAGGATCGGCGTAGCAAAAGGCCTCCCCTCTCCTCTTTGGTTTGGAGGCCACGCATCTGTAAGTCGTCACAAGTGATTCTACATACTACCACCCGAAATTTGCATATTGTGTGAAAAGTACTAGTTTAAAGATGACCACACATTAAATACATTAAATGCTACAAAAGTTTGGTCTTAGACAAGCTGGGGAGGTAGTGAGAAAGGGACATTATCAAATGATGTTCAACCATAATAATCGCAGGAACAAACTAGCGTAATTAGAAGCTAGATTTCAATCACACATACTTAAAGACTGTCGTTTGAATCATAGCAAAGAATACAATAAAGGCAGAATAAGTTTCTGTGGGAAATAGCAAACATGCGGAATAAGGGTAATAAAGCTGAGCTAAATGTCGTCCTGGTATACACCAAATTAAGAGAGCAGAGCCAGACCATATGAAATGAGGCAAATATTGCTGGACACCAAAGGAACAGTAAATGGACGCAGAACTGACGGAATTATGTCTGCGGGAGAAGAGACGTCGTCATTGCGCTTTGGGTTGGCCAAAATAAATTAATGGACGGGTGTGAGAACGCACACACCAACAGATGAGTCCTGTTGTGCACTGATACTGACAGGCGTAAAGACCAGACAATTTGGCCTGTAACCAGTCTGGTGAGAGTAGTTCGGAAAAGATGTCCTCGACCATTACTACTATATTTTAGGATATGTTTAAAGTGCACTGAAATTGGCATATTTTCAATATTGTGAAATACGTTTTGAGGCAAAAGTCGTGAACAAACAAATTGATTCACAATTTGGCTGTTTCTAGTGGCTTTTGAGTAAGTGACAAACGGTCAGTTCAGTCATCGAAGGGCTGGAATAGGCACGATTCATGATTGCCAAAAACAAAGGATTTGAAGCTGAGGAAGCCATGATTTGCAGTGGTGGCACTCATCTTCTTTGTCGGGGTTGTGTCTACTTTGAAAAGCAACCGCAAGAGTTGGTCTAAGAGACGTAAATCACAGAGCAGTTTGAGGCCGAGTTACCGTCCAAAGCAGTTCAGCCCACGTGGTCTGGACGAATTGTCCACTGTGGCATTCGATTGCGTTGAAGAGCGTCTGTCCGGCGGATTTGCGTACTGCCGGTCGTCGATCACGCACCAGAGCGGAGAGGTGACAAAAGACCTCCACCCAGAGAGGCTCGATTATTTTCTTCTCCTCCTCAGTGGAACGTTCCCTTTGAAACAGGAAATCAGTCAGATGGAGCTAAAACAAGACAAAAATAACGTTTATGAGGGCTTACATCAAACGACTTTTATCACACAAACAAGCTTGTTTATGTGAGATAACGGCAGGCTAAAAAGGCAGCAGCTTCAGTAAGGCTGAATGCCAATGCGCTCTCAGCAGCAACAAATGTTTACCGGCTAAACTGTCGCCTCTGTGTAATCAATCCACACTGCCAAGTACGATAGTTGATGAGTTCATTTAATTACTTTGCCCAAATTGTGATTTAGCCGTTTTTGTTACGACCCATCAGTTGCATACGCAACGAAAATGCGGATCACTGTCTGCCAAGGTCACCTACAGTTGCTGCCTTAACACGCATGCAGGGAACACCTGGAGTTGACGTGCGCCTAAGACGCCCCACAAGTGTTCCCTCAAGTAGCCAATTCCGTGTTCACTTGAGCACTCTATTAATACGACGACCCCCCACCGCAACACAGCACGCCTGACGGGGTAAGTAAACAGCCGTACTCACCCAACAAGAGTTAATGAAGAGCAGGGTTTTGAGGCAGGCAAGCTTCTACACTGTTTCAACGGTGTTCGTTTTTTGCTACATCTTAGATTCTTACAGCATTGATTACCCATGGGAGTTTAAAAACAGGCAACATAAAAAATAATAATGCTACCTGTTACGATTTGGAACATCAGGGAAAACAATTATGTTCAAACACCAATTGTCTACAAAATTTAAAAAAAAAACACTTTCTGTACGATTTTAGATCCGTGTTGTGACAACCCATGGTTAAGGCAACTCCACCTTATTTAAAATCCACACCTTTGTACGCGTACACATACCCGCACATGTGAACAATATACGATTCTTGCCTAGTGGTTCGGTAAATGGTTGGCTGTCGTACTTATCCCTGAGTACTTCTTGTCGTGTCGTGCCAAAGTAAAATTGGTGACCCTGACGTGGACAAGCATTTCTCACATCCTTCCCATTCGACCGTTTTAGCCGACAAATATGGAACATTTCACCCAAGAAGCGAAATACTAGACATTATAGCCAGAGGTACTCAAGGGTATCACCAGCAACCAAACTCTAACGCACACATGCTCAATCGGATGGGGGTCATGCAACACAGTTAGAGTCAATTGTAATCAGTTATAGAGGCTTCGATATTAAGCTATTAGGAAGCACGATCATTTGCCCGCCTGACAACGCACATAGTTGCATTGCTTTTCCACATCACATTCTGATTCTCAGGAAATTTTGCAGGTACCACCAAACCTGCGAGAGTGCGGCCCCCTCGTGTCAACCACTGCGTACTTTTGAATGCGTGCAATTTACGATAAAAAACGGCTTGCAGTAGAGACGACCGGTGTTGACATGCAGCTAAGCCGCCGCTGTCGCCCGATTCCTTCCGATGCATCAACAGGCGTACCACACACACAGTGGTGACTAGGATGTACGCTTTCTTTCCCACGACATTCCGACATTAAAATGATTCAAAATTCCACGTTTTACTTCCGACGGCATTATCGACCGCGACAAATCAACTGAGGTGCAATTGGCCTTTGTTACCGAACCCAAGAGCCGTTGGCTGTTTCAGGCAAGAAAGCTGAAGTTAAAACGCTACGTGTGGCCCGCCATAAACTGAGACAAAAGTGCGTACGCTGCCAGATCTCCTAGGTAGACAGGCATATCAAAGAGTCACTAGCGCAATAATGACTCGAGGTTTGATTATGTATACATCGACCTTGCGAAATCGTTGATGCAATTTGCTCCCTTGCGACACGTAAATTACATCACTGGATCTTTCAGCGCACTCAAATGAGAAGAAAGGGTTTCATCATCGAGAACAACGGGAATGTACACACCGCACTCGTCAATTGTTTCAATCCGGCCACAGTCAGAGTCACCTGCAACACGGGCTTGTCAAGTGGTCTGGTCGTTTATTGGGGAAATTAACCAGATGACAGACTAGTGTAAATATTGACTGAATTTAAGCATTTCTCTGACCAGAGTACACCAAGACTCTACTCTACTGCCTACCAGTAGTCCTTTCAAGCAAGAGGCTTCGAATTAACGGAACATTTAGTGCCGCTAGTGCAAAGGACAGTTTTCGTAACTGGGCTTGATCTTCAAGTCATGTCCATAACTCTCAATTACTGAGTAGAAAATTGAGTCTAAAATCATCCTAATTCAAATCAAGAAAACAAAATTTTGTGAGGGATAGACGGTAACTATTTCTTCAGGCGGCAAAATTCACTGTTTAGTAAAGTGGTTCCTTATTTATGGCCTCATTTTGTCTGATATAGCCCGACTGATCCGGCCGACGCAATTAATAGTAAATTGTAGTCCAAGACTTAATTATTTGCCATTGTTGACGGCAGAAAGACGTTAAAGTACAGGTTGAGAGCGAAGACATAAAGAATTTAAACCACATGTGCGCAGATAAAAAAGAAATTATAGGCTGCGTCTCAAAAAGCAAACCAGTCAATTTAAAGGACCTGTCCGTAATTAAAGAAGGAGAGTGAATTGTGTTGGTCCTTCAAAAAGTAAAAAGGAAGGCAGATTCAAGATGGGACTAAGATTTTGATTAGACGACACCGGGGTTGCTAGACTTCCAGAAGTCAAAGTAAACACGGGTACTCAAAGTTTTTATTGGGAGCTAACGGAAATTTTGGCGACGTGTTCGGTTTTAATGTTAAGAACGAGGATGAATAAAGAAAATTGCGGAAATGATTAATATTAATATAGACTGGCAATAAATTAATTAGCATCATAAACACTTGTGGTAAAGAGGTTCTTAGTCAAAGTCGATGCGTGTGCATTTAAAGAAACGATGTCTAATCGCCTCACACGCCTTTTAGGGTCCAAATACCACAATAAACACCATATTCGAATAGAATAAAAATGGGATCGGAAAAACGTTCAGCTGACCACTTAAATCAACGTACCTTATTTACATTACTTGTAAGAGGATTGCGCACACACACACACACACACACACAAAGCACATCATTTTGAACAAACACACAAGGCACTGACTGCGGGGTGGTAGCGTTGGTTTTCAGAAAACGCCTAATGCCACCAAATGTTACTGAATCTGCGTTTGCACTAGAGCAAATAGAACAGTTTCTTCATGGGATCTGGCAGTTAAGCATAAATTTTTTTAATAAAATAAACAGTGGGTTGAATAGATAGCAAGGAAGCGTGGTTGCAAAAACACTAACAGCGGAGTAATTGACTTTGCAATTAGCTAGTAAAGGGAAGTCAAATCGCTTTACTCAGTCGCTTTGTTTGGAATCAATCACCTCCATACAAGAGTTTGATATTTAATATTTAAAAAACGACCTCGAAGACGCTATATAAAAAAGTGATAAATGAGCCATTAAGAAGGAATAAATTCGATTGCTTGTCAAAAGTATCAAAATGGCGGTGCATCACTAAGTTATAATATACGAAAGAATGAGTTATATCCGCAACAGATGTAATGCGCTGCCTCTACTGCGGTATTCCCAAAAGGCCAGAAGGCCATTTACAGTTAAGGCTAATAGCCAATCAAGGATAGATAAGCCGACAAAACAGATACAGCGGGGTGACGTTGCTAATTGAAACGCTTTCCGAATCACAGTTAGTGTTTGCATAAAACAGACATGTACCGACGTGCTACGAGATAAATTCTAGAACTTAGTTTAAACATGACAACTGAAAGGTCGTTTAAAAATTGACATCTGATTCGCCACGACGGTTTCTACTCAGACCAGGGCATTAAAGAACACACGAGCACGCATATCCGCGAGTTTGAAGTGTGTGCCTGACAAAGGAGGAAGTAGAACCCGCAGAGGACATTTAGGATGACACTTTCGTCTAACTCTACACAAATCACCACCTGCCCTCTGTCAAAAATTCAGCTAAAACATTTCCACAACTGATTTTTTCCCAGATGTGTGGTAGAATAGACATGCAGACGTTCCGCTGTGGGCCTTCTCGTTGAGTCGTGGTGGTTAGTGTACGCTTCACACAGCATTGGTTACTAGCAGAGGTGAGCACTAGTGGAAGAGTTGCGGAGTGAACCTGAGTCAGAGCATGTGAGATTTTCTCGCGAAATTCTTTACGCATGAGCAATAGACCGATGCTTGTTTACGGCGAAATGCGGAAGAAACAACTCCAGCGTGAGGCTAATAAACCCTGACATCATAAAACAACACAGGTTCCCATAAACACAGCACGTTGATAAAGCAATAAATAGGGTTGTGACGACGCTTTTGACAGAACTTAATACGTACGGAAGCCGTTTAATCCGACAGTGCTGTGCTGCAAATTTAAAACAAAATAAAAACAGGAATTATGCGGTTGACAGAAGGACCAAACGAGACCAATGGGCTGTGCTGCAGACGGGCCGTTTTACGCAGGGGATTTTTACGATTTATGAGAAAGGGAAGTGTGTCGATTGGGCTTCGTGTGGGGGGAACCACCGGATGCGGCATCGCCCGAAGAAACACCTTTAAAATGGACTCATAGGAGGACAATAAATCTTGCTACGAAGGGATTTCGTTGAAGGGAAATTTGCCCAGAGTACGATAGGGACAGAATTTTTGACCAAACTGGCTCTAGTCAGTGAGAAAATTGATGGTAAAGGTTATACTGCGGCACTCACGTTGGCCTCACACCACCCGAAAGTCTTGCTCACGCGCTTAGCAAGTGCGTATGTTCACTGGTGTACTAGTACTTAGGGCAAATTGTTCTTCAAAACTAAAGAGACTCATCTAACAAGGTTAATGGCCACTTCACCAAGCAAAACAATGCACCACATACACGTCAAAGAACTCCTTGAAAGAATGATTGTCTTCTGAGAGATAAAGCGCTGACACATGCTTCGATCAACGAGTACCTAAAAGCGATGATGCGAACATAACAAGATCTTCAGAACTAAATTAGCATTAAAAGGCAGCTGCTAACAACTGCACCTCCAATGAACGAAGTCTTCTGCATGTCTGCCTATAGGAACCCACTATGGCCTTGAGTGTATCTTATTTGCAATTTTACCAAACTCTTTGACAATCCGACTTTTGAAGCGGCGTGCATACCAGAATACCACGAGTTCATTCACGTGGCTTCAATTTTAGTACACTTCATGCCAGCAAGGTCAGTAATGTCGATGCGCAAATATAATCGCTTCGGCTTACTACAAATTCAATCTGAATGACCTCTGGTCTGAAACTATGTGACTAGATTCACATTGAAATTACACAAAGCTGGTCGACTTTCGGAATTTCTAACCACCAGTGCCTCAGTGGAATAAATTCGGCCAATCGCACTTTTTCCTTGAAAGGAATCAAATGAATACGTCTTGTAGAAATCAGAATATAGCGAGATGGAGAATGAGGCGTATTCCAGAGTGGGCCAGACGAGGTAGTGAACGGATACCTCCAAAACAAACATTAGTTTACTTTATCAACTTCAGCTTCACCACTGTCAAACGCGGTGCCCCCACAACTGCGCCATAAAAGCCCACTTTTGCCGCATCCTGCATTTTGCGGCAAAAGTGGGCTTTTATGGCGCAGTTGCAACCCAGCCGAAGTCGCCGACTACAATTTATTGAATTGGTGAACACGACGCATTTGTACCATCGGATTGCCGGCAAGACGCACAAAAGGCACCAACCAAAGAGGCACACTCACAACAGTCCTGCCGCAAAACACAAGACTCACCAGGGATCCGATCGCAGCCAGCGCGATGTTCAGGTCGTGCATCTGGTGGCCGAATTTGGCCGCCGTATTCACGCACGCCGGGTAGCAGTCTGGGCACAGAGTGGACAGGTAGTCCGTCACAACGAGTTGGAAGCACTGGAAAGCCGAGCGAATATGGTGGTCACTATAAAAAAGATACCCAAGTAACAACAGCACGCAAACTTGTGCACACTTGCGAACCCATAACTACGGTGAACACAGGAAAATGGCATTAAAATCAGGTAAAAATGACAAAAAACGTATTAGAAGAGGGCTGAAAACTGCAGAGGTTTAAAGGCATCAAGAACACGTTTATTTAATTACGAAATAACCAGGCTTTTAAATCGACGAAAACCAGACTTTAGATTTTGAGCCTACAACGACGTTTCTTGACAGACTGTCATTCCTAAGGCATGGTTAAGACGTGGCAGTTGATTGCATTAGTTTTTAAAACAGATGTCAGACACAGACTTACTTTAATGGATAATTTAGAGTTGGATTTAAGCGAAATTAGAAGTGAGACACATTTTGACAAAAAACGATTACTGAGGGTGGACATACTGCATTACACAACAGCAAAAAATGGTTCATTACCAATAAACGGATGTTTTAGTTCTTATTTTGTAAGAATTAAATAGTTATTCTTTTGAATAGATTTACGTCGGAAAGCACCACAGTTAAATCGAAAACGCAGGTAGTATTTCATCAGTCTTTGCATCGGATCACGTGTAAGGCCAGGCGAGGGAAACTTAAGGCAATCAAAGGAAATAGACTGGGACACTGGTTAGAACAGATATCAGGCAATCGCTCAATGAGAAGGGAATTTCGACCAATCTAATTACCTCTGAGATTGACTGATTGAACCAATAATATTGATTAACCGAAGCCAACTCTCGCTGATTTCATCACCGTAACAGTGAATAAGGTACTGCACACACTGCAACTGCTTTTCCTGCACATCGTTGAATTTGATTTCGGTCAGCTGAGTCAGAGGATCCAGCACAAGTTGAGTTAAGTCCTGAAATCGTGCAAAAATACATCACATCACCGCTAACAAACCAACGATTTCTCCCACCAACACACGGCGCATACCACAGTGACTTGGCAAAAGACAGCCCAGTAAAAATTTGCCGAATTTGAGCAGGATGCTCAGAGTGCTGTTAGATAGTTAAGATAAACTAGAATAACTAAACTAACCGATGTGGTTAAAAAGTTGAAAGCAAAAGGCTAAACTCTTGCTGCACTTACAAATTCGGTGAAAAAGTGGACTCATCACTCCAATGTGTTAGCTATCATCAGCATTTCAGATACTTAAAACGCAGGCATCTAAAGGCATCCCAAATGTCAGTTGCCATTTTCGCACAATTTTATTGGCTTTTCGTCTCCTTTACTGCCATGCTTGCTCAAATTAAAAGCCATGTGATATTTTACGTCACACTTTTAATTCGTTCCTTGACCTTTTTGACTACTCAGAGTATCCTGTCTTGCTATTAGTGACAAGTTTCTTTAAGCTATCCTAGCAAGCGCTTAACGCAAACTTCACTAAAATGAAAGCCCGTGAGTGAAATGTGATG